ATGATTCTATGATTCTATAATTAAGTGGCCATTACAGGGCCTGTGATATCCTGGACACCTCTACCCTGACTTCTAGGGACAGCAGCAGCTTTATGCCGTTTGCAGTGGTTCCTCTCCCCGAGTGACCTGCCTGTGGCTTTGGCTCACCTGTAGTGTGTTAATTCTTCTCCCATTGAGATACAGTGGGAAGCTGATGAAGTTGCTGTATTTTGTCACCACCTCTGAAATGGAAAGAAGACACAGAGGAGTCATATTTGTGAAAACACCACAGAAAAGAATTTCTTCAGTAATGGCAGGTGAAGGCTGCTGCAGGAGAGGAAAACCGCTGTAAATTCACCTCCCACTCAAGCAGCAGCGACACACTCGCACAGCCCCTCAGCAGGTAACAGTATTTCCCTCCTCCACTCACCCTTGACCCGGTCTTCATTTGCAAACTCCTTGCAGTCTTCTTTGAGGTGTATAATAATCTTAGTCCCAGTTCTGACACCAGATGCTTCTGCAATCTCAAACATTCCTGAACTAGGATTAGAAACAGACCCCATGTCAGCCTGTGCCTCAGATACATCCATGATGGGACATGAAAACGTTTCATTAAATAAAAAGCACACACAACACTTCAACGCCAAGAGGAAAAGGCAAAAAATCTTGAGGCCTGGATCTCTCTGTGCCTCTGGGAAGCTCCCCCCAAAACATGTGGCTGCCTTCCCCGCATAGCCTCCAGCCCCAGGACACACGGCTCTGCAAAGTCACCAGCAAAGGAGACAAACTCCAGGTTGTGTGGGCCGAGCCTTCAGCTCCTCTCCTGCATTTCCTACAGTGACCGTAACACCCAGGCTCCCGCCTCCTCCCGACAACCCTGACTCGCCTGTGGGCCCTCCCTCACTCACATCTCCACTGGAGTCTGCAGTAACTGGTTACGACAAAAAGCAGCTGTGCTCTGCTAAAGACAGTCTGTCCTGGATGACCATTCCCACCCTACGGGAATGCCATCTGGGGATCAGTCACTGGTGAGAGCACTGACCTGGAGGAGAGACAGCAGCAGCGATGATTGCACTGCGCTGCAGCCCGCAGCAGTCCATCCAGTTCCAAGACGGTATTTCAAGAATTTAAATAACTTAGTAAATCCTTTATTCCTAGGAGATTTTAAAGGGATGCGGAGCTTTTCACTCCCAGAAGCTGCAATTTCAACATGGCCCCACAGTCCACATCTTTGCCATCACATATGTTTGCAACTTCAAGCAAAAAGCAAAGGATGAGCTCACAGATCTGCCCCCCAGAAGACACGTGCCTGCAGAGCCACAGTGCTGCACGAGCCCTGCCTACCACGCGTGCCCTCGAGCAAAGAGCGAGGGGATGACTAGACCAAAGAGATTACATGCATCTCTCCCGTCTGGGGCACTGCCAAGATGACTGCCTGCCAACAGGGAAGGAACAGGAGAGGCAGGTCTCTCCTGGTCCACAACACACCCACTCTGACACACCAAACTTGTCCCTGGGGTTTCCACCCTGGCACATTCGGCTGCGCTTTGTTTCCCTGTATAAGCTGAGCAGGATCTAAGGCCGTAAGCCTGGTCATGAAAGACCACACAAGCCCTGTCTTGCTTTGCACAGCTTTCAGTCCATGCCTGGTCTGCATGCAGCCCCCCTGTTTCCATCACATTCTGCAGCCTTACCCATCTGAAGACCAGTGGTAGCCCGGGCTCCCCAGCTCTGCAGACTGTGAGAACACCTCCACTTTATCAGCCACCATGAAAGCCGAGTAGAACCCTACTCCAAACTGACCAATGATTTTACTACTGGCGTCAGCCTGGCTCTGCAGCGCATCTAGAAAAGCCTGTAGGAACAAAGGAGATACAAACCAGTGCACAGTGACTTCAGGAGGCTGCAGCCCATCCTCCAGCTGGGCTCCTCCGAGCATTGATGCACCCTACGTCAGGTACCGCAGCCCTGTACCCCATCCCACACCTCTGCGTGAGCGCTTCGAGGAGACTGCCCAAGGAAACGGGTTTCTCCCACAGGGGCTGCGCTTCTGGAAAAGGGGAGCACTGCTTAGGGCAACACTCACTGCTGCTAGCAGTGAAGGAAAAGAAGTGAGGGCTCAGTCAGAGGCATAAAACCTTAAAATGGTGACTCCAGAGATGAAAGAAAAATAACAGGAGACACAGGGTGAATGCTGAGTGAGCACGTGCCCCTCCGCAACGATGGCTTGGGGAGGAAGGCATCTGCTTTTGGGAGTGGGGGCAACCAGGGGCAGCAGCATTACACACAGGGCCCAGTAGCGCAGCTTGGACACCACTGGTCTCCCACGGCACGCAGCAGAGACCGTGAAGAGCCACAAGACTCCAGAGGTAGATTTCACCTTCCAAGAGGGGTGTAATTTCACAGCTCGGCTGGGGGCCAAGGGACGAGACGGCATCAGAAATTACGGGGAGAACAAAAGTGACTGTAACTGGAGAAGACTTTCCTGTGAGGGTAAAAGGGGTGCCTCATCCCAAATTACCTTTGAGCCTGATCGAGCAATGGTACCAAGGTTAGAAACCAGCTCCTCCTGGGTCATCCCAATACCTGTGTCCTGAAAAGAAACAGCAATCGTAGCTGAAACATCAGTAGAGAAGCACTGCTTCAGCAACCAGCACCCCAGCAACTTCTGCCTCTGCCTGCCACTCTCCCAGCCAGCTGAGCAGTAAAGGCGACAGCAGACATCCTGTGGCTCCACCTGCACAGGGTCAGGACAGCGGACTCCAAAGACACACAGCTCCAAGGGGCAGCCACAGCTGTCTTGGGGCTATAAACCACCAGAAAGCTCAGAGACTTGAGCCTTTTATCGAGAGAAAACAGAACTATGCCAAGACCAGTGGGTTTCTGCACCCCTCTAAAATGTGCACAGGATGACAGCGCTGGAAAGGGCTCTCAGCACAGTCCCACCTCCCTGTGCCAGGTGCTGTGCACGTATGGAGACTGTTTCCATTCCTGAACCAGTCCAGAGGGGAGTTGAGGAGCAGTGGGCAGCAGCTTATTTCCAATCCACAGATGAGGAACCAATGCCTTCCCACCAGGAATCAGCAGCAGAGCAGCGAATCCCAAGTAATGCAGACCCTTGTCTACGAGCACCACATCCACTGATCTCCATCCACCGTCCCCCTCACACGCTCCACAAGGCTGGGGTATGAAGCTGGCAGTGTCCAGGTCCCTGAGCTGGGTATTGCAGCACCAGTGGGAACAGACTAACCCCAGCTGGAAGTACAACGCACCGGCCACACCTCACAGTGCTCTGTCTGGGATTTGAGGGTCTGTGGCTTGTTCACTTCCCCCTTTTAATCCAGATTTTGCACTCCTGAATGCACATAAACAACTCCCTGCTGCTAGCGCACGCCTCTCAGGCAGCAGATCCTTCAGCAGCACCATCCAGGAAAGGCTGCTGCAAGCCTCAGACCAGGCTGCAACTCCATTTGTTGCCACAACACATCTGCACGACCCCAAAGTAACAAGGATGGCAACAAACCCCAGTTAGAAAACCCCCACCCTGTCACACAGGACCCCAACAAAAATCTTTCCCACCTTGTAGTAGTGCAAGGTATTTCCAGGCTTGCTCCACACGCATCTTCCACAGCAGCACAGCGCAAGCTAATGCCCTCCAGGATGCCACTTCTGAAAACCAAGCGCCACTCCCCCTCCCAAACCCCAGCAGCTTCTCTACCTGACAGAAACATCCCAAGAAGCCACTCTTAGAGGTTCCCTGAGCCACTCGGTGCGGCAGCATGAAAATTAGCCAAGTGAAAGGCGATTCTTGTTCCTGTGAGGAGTTCAGCTCTACTCACGTACCGGTGAGCACAGTTATCACAGCTGACAGCAGCCGGCACACCCAGAAGCAGGCTGACACACTCATGAGGCTGTTAATTTGAGGGAGAGGGGTTATCGGCAGGCAGGAGTTGGCAAAACGAGCTAAAGTGGAACCAGCCACTACTAGATGGCTTGGAGGTGGGACGCCAGAGCGACTGCTGGCACAGCATGCCTCTACCACCCATGTGGGGCATTTCGTGGGCCTGTTTGCTAGCACAGCAAGTTAGAGTCAGTACATATTTTCTAATCTAGAGTTTAACTCCAGTGAAGGATCAAACTGTGGGTAACTTAAGAGGTAACTGAGTGAGGTGCCATGCAGGCAAGACATTTTTCGGCATCCCCACAAGTCACAGCAACACCTTCCCCTTGATTAAATAAGGTAAGGCCAGTCGGTCATCTTGGCTGAGAAGGGGGACGATGCCCAGTAACATCTCAACAGTGGGAGATGAAAAGCCAGGAAAAACAAACAGGGTATGGCAGAATCCCAGGAATCTGACATGGTCCCTTCCCCCAGGGAAGAAAAAGCCAGAAAGAAAAGTTTTCAGCATCTGGTTCAGGTTTTGTTCATGCCAGATCCTGAACAGAACTCTTAACTCCTTTGATCCACTCCTATTTATAGCACAGCATGTCATTCCCAAATTCCAGTATGTTAAAAAAAATACATATCCCTACCCCATTAATTTATTTGGCTATTGAATTCCGAGCTCCCTGCCAGAGTTATTGCAAAACGCTTAATGACAATTCCTGGAGACTAGTTTGATGAGGGTGAATTGCAACAAACAAAGAGAGCGTGGCTCAGAACGGCCTGCTCCCCCGACAGCGCCCAGCTGCTAGTAGGGAAGCGGAAAGCGTCCGTTTAGGTGGCTGGCCAAAGATCCTGGCAGAGCAGACATTTCCTACTGCAGGAAAACACCTGGGTGGATTACGATG